TGGGGTATTCAGAGAAGAAAATGATCATGACGGGTTGATGTAGGTGGAAGAGTGAGTCAGGGAATGTGCTAGGAGGAGCAGAGTGCAGGGCATCACAGGTAAAGAGCTGCACACCTGTGCAAAGACCAGAGGGGTGTGTGTGTGTGTGTGTGTGTGTGTGTGTGTGTGATTGCACGGGACAGTGAGGATACAGCACTGTGTACAGGCTTCATAGGCAGAAAGATGGGCATGGAGTTTGAGGGCTTTGAAGATTTGGCATTGGGGTGTGAGGTCCTGTTCCTGTGTGCAGGGCTTCAGTCAGGCATATAAGTAGAAGATGGATGGGTGAATAAGATCACATGTGATAGAACCAAATAGGGTGCCTGAAGCAACACGTGCTGTGCAAATCTTATATATGCCTGTATTAGCCAGGGCACTCTAGAGAAACGAAACTGATAGAATATATATAGATACAAAGGAGGGGATTTATTGTGGGAATTGGCTCACATAATTTTGGAGGCTGAGAAGTCCTGCAATCTGCTATCTGCAAGCTGGAGACAAGCTGGTGATGCCATTTCCAGTCCAAACACGAAAGTCTGAGAACCAGGGAAGTCAGTGGTGCATGTCCCAGTCCAAGTCTGAATCTCTGAGGACTGGGGGTGGAACAGTGGGAGGGGATAGTGTAAATCCTGGTCAGAGTCTGAAGGCCTAAGAAAGAGGAGCACTGATGCCCTAGGGTGGGAGAGATGTGCATTCCTAGCTCAAGGAGAGAAAAGAGTCACTCTTCTTCATTTTTTTTCCCATTCTATTTGGGGTCCTCAGTGAATTGACTGATACCCACCCACATTGGCGAGGGCAACCTTATTTACTTAGTCTACTTTTGAAGAGTGAAGTGAAGCCATTTTCTTTCTCTAACCTGATTTCCTCCTCTCCCCTCCTCTCCTATTTTCTCTTCTCTTCTCCTGTCTGACTCTCTTTCATTCCTCTTTTTCTTTTTTCTTTCCTGCCCAGCTGACAAGGTAAGTAAGAACAGGGACATCCTTCGGTTTGGAAGGTATATGTGGGCCGGGTGGAACAAGAAGTGTCATCCCAGGTATTTCCAGTTGCTTCTACTCCATTGTTTTCTACAGTTGTTCAAAAAGGAATTCCAGATCACTTTCAAGCCATAACCAAGATGCGAGTGGCACAGGATGCCGGTGCTCCGTCCACAATCTGTCACAACCGACATTTCCATGCACAGTGGCCTCATTTCCAATGACAAGCACCTGCATCTTCATGAGAAGACTGTCAGGCTGCTGGAGCCCACTGTGTCCATCCATGATGGGGGCCTGACATATAGGATGGGGCTAATAATCAATGACTGCCAGGTGTGAGTATAAGCAGCTGAGCCTCCTCATCCCCCAGATGGAATATTTCTGATGCACCTGTTGCACAGTTTCCCCCGTATCCTCTGGGGATGCAGCTCCAGCTGTCTACTGTGGTTGCTGACTCTACAGTGCGCTCCTTATTGGCTTCATTCTTCATCTATCCCTTTCCCATTCCCCCACCAGGTCTCCGTGCTTACAAAATAAACTCACCCCATAGGTCCTCTTCTCAGGGCTTGCTTCTGTGGGCATCCCACCTAGAAAAAGGGGTAGAATGTCAATGGCAATCTCTTTAGACCTGCCGCTGATGTGCACAAAAGTCTTCTCTGTTATTGCAGGATCCAGCTAAGCTCACTAGGTAGGAAACAAGATAGAAATGTGAAATGAAAAATCTATATGCAGTTATAAAGAAAGTCTCTTTTGTATACCTCTCTTAGAACCAGCAGTGGTTTGAGAGGGACAACTGGCTGACTACTTGGTGCTTTAAATGAGGGGTCAGCAAATGTATAAGGGCCAGAGAGTAAATACTTGGAGCTTCACAGGCCAGGCACTCTGTTGCAACTACTCAGTTCTAACGCTGTAGTGCAAAGGAGGTGATCATAGACAATATGTAAAATGATGAGTGGGGTTATTTTCCAATAAAACTTTACTGACAAAAATAGAGACCCAGATTTGTCTTGCTGCTGGTTTAGATGCTGCCCATCTTCATCTATTTAATAAAGTGTTCAGCTTGCATTTAATTTCACGTTTCTTCCTTTGCCTTCCGCTCACTGTCTTGACCATCCTTCCTACACATTTGTGTTTTCTGCTTGTACTTAAAGGTTCTTCCCAGGGTTTTTTCCTCTGGAAATTCTCCCTGAACCCCCAAGTGTGGCTTAGGGGCTTCTCATCCATGTTTTCCACTGGGTACAGTGCTCACCTGTTTCTTGCTACTTATAGCCTAGCTGATGAACTTTATATTTTGACTTAAATTTTTTTTTTTTTTTTTTTTTTTTTTAGTGAGAGGCCTTTCAGTTGTGACAGAAATCTATCTCAAAGTTGCTCCAATGCAAAAAAAGTTTTCTCTTAAGTTTGCATTAATTGATTTTGTGATTAAATCGCAAATATACACCTGAAGCACTTTTAACTTTTCCAGAATCTGTTAACAGTCTTGCTCTACCGCAGTCCCCTTTCCTCATGGGCATAATGACATATGTCCCTGTTTGCCTGGGAGTATTCTGGTTTACATCTTTTGTCCTCAAGCAATTATAAATAGTGTCCCCTTTGACTCTCATGAGTGCCCTGGAATTTGCAATAAATTATATGGTCACCTACTTAATGACATGCTAGTCAGATTTTCCAACTTCTTGGTCACTTTCAAGGACGAAGAGTTAGTCCTCTCCATTCAAAACCTCTTATCTCTTATTCTACCCTAGGCCCCCAAACATAGGAGAGTCTATGGCCACTCTCCATGTGCTCATTTCCCTGTCCTGCCCTTGCTTCTCTGAATTTATGAATGGGAAGGAGACAGGAAAAAACGTACTTCCTTTTATGGTTGTTCATGGTGGTTTTTCCATGCCCTTTTGGACTGATTTTATTATTTTGGTTTGTAGTCCTGTCTATGTCACAGGAGAATAAACACTGGTGTCTTGTGGGGACACATCTGGATTATATTTTTGGGAAGATCTCAAGGGGACCCCATCTTGTGTAGTCAGCTGCCTTGCCAGAGGCCTGGTTGAGGCTCAGCCTCTTCCCGCTTCCCACCTTCACGTGTGGTCAAGCCCACATCCTCTGGCTGCTGGGCTCTCTAGCCTGGCCGGCAGCTCTCTTGGAAGATACTGGTAAGATGGTTTGAGATGGTTTAAAACAACTTCTGTTGTACCAGCTCTGCCTGCCAAATGGAGGTAGTGAGGGGTCCCCTTGGCTTTCCTTTCTTGGCTTTTTGGGTCTTTTCCTTTTGTTACAGATCAGTAGCAATGGTCTCTCTGTCAGTTCAGAAGACCAGAAACTCGTACTACAGATCATCCCCAATTCCTGAGTGATGGAGTAGTGATGGTGGTGGGGAAGCATGTTTTGTACAACTCTACCTTCCAGGAAGAAAGGGGCTGATATTAGTTGAAAATTCTCTTTAATGTTAGGGGTAGAAATATGAAACCATTGTTTTTTCATAATCTCTCTCTTCTTCCAAAAGACACTGGCGTCTCAAAGAACGTGGAAAGGTACAGTAAAGGGGGATATGCTACACCCCAGTGCCTCCAGGTGGCTGTAGAAGAACTTAGTATTTTTTTGTTCTGGCTTCTCACGTGATAGAACACAATTGTTCCTTGCTGTTGGTTCTATCATAATTCATGGAAAATGGGAACATCTCTCATTTTACACTTCATACTATCATGTTACAAATTCAAACAATTTGTAACATGGGTAGATAGTACAATCAGGCCACCATGGAGCTGGCCTTACACAAGCATGTGCTGGCTTCAGGACCCACTGTCTCCCCATCCTTCAGTTCTTCTCCTTCTGTACTGGTCTTACTCTGTTCTAGAAGAAGCTTTTTGCATGTGGTGGAGGAGAGGCACGTGACTAATGACTGTCCCAGGTTTATTTTATTGCAGTCCCCAACCTAGAGGAGAATAAGCTTCACTGTTACTTGGTATACATAGGCCCCAGGGAAGATTTATGATTGGTCCTGCTTAGATCATTTATCCATGCTTTGGCCAAGCACTGTGGCCAGGGCGATGAGGTGCTTGACCAGCTGGACTGAAGCTATGTGTTTATTTCCGTGACAGGAGTGGGGAGGAGATGATGTGACTGGAAGCTTTCCACTCCTACCAAAAATCATATGGCGTTTTAAAATGGGGGAATAGCCATGACCTCAGTGACAGGGACAGTGAACTGAAAAGGAACAGAAGCAAGAAAGACAAGTCGGTCCAGTTTAGATCACCTTAGGTCACCCAGTCACTTGCCAAGCCGCCAACTGATTACAAATTCAGGAGCAAGCCTCGCTGGGATCAGTACAAACACCCAGCTTAATTTTTTTCAATCCACAGAATTGAGAGCTATATAGCTTTTTACTGTTTGGGAATGATTTGTCACTCTGCAAAGGCTAACTAATACAAGTACTAAGGAATAATATTTTATCACTGTTACTTCACAGATGTGCCACCAAATCTGGATGAACATATAATTTTATTTTTGCTCTCACTGAATACACATACACCCACATGCACACAGGCACACGCATATGTGTACATAAATATTGTTACTGCCAGATCTACCATTAAGTATTAAGCTTATGTAGGTTATGGAATAAGGTATCCAGAGGGTTACAACTTAAAATATGAGGCAAGAGGCATAATGTAATAAAAAGTTGGCACCAAGAAAAAGTGCAGGCTTACTAGAGACTGCACGGGACCTTTGCTCATTAGTAGAAAAGACAGCATGGTCAGAGTAGTTAAGTAAGTTCTACTGAAATAATAACATAGTACTGAAGAATGACTGTCATGTTAATAGTCAGATATAATGGAGTTTTTTATAGGTCCATGGAGATCTCAGTGATTTTTGAGCCCCAACCAACACTTTGATCTCAGCTTTGTAAGACTCTGAGCAGAGGACCCAGTTAGGCTGTTCCTAAACTCCTCACCTATGGAAACTGTGAAATTAAAAATGTGTCTTGTTTAGGAAAGACCTGGAACCAACTCAAATGCCCATCGATGGTAGACTGGACAGAGAAAATGTGGGACATATACACCATGGAATACTATGCAGCCATAAAAAATGATGAGTTCATGTCCTTTATATAGACATGGATGTACCTGGAAACCATCATTCTCAGCAAACTGACATGAGAACAGAAAATCAAACCCTGCATGTTCTTACTCATAGGTAGGTGTCGAACAATGAGAACACATGGATACAGGGAGGGGAGCATCACACACTGGGGTCTGTTGGTGGGGCTAGGGTAGGGACAGCAGGGATTAGGGAGTTGGGGAGGGATAACATGGAGAGAAATGCCAGATATAGGTGATGGGGGGATGGAGGCAGCAAACCACATTGCCGTGTGTGTACCTATGCAACAATCCTGCATGTTCTTCACATGTACCCCAGAACCTAAAGTGCAATAAAATTTAAAAAAGTGTATTGTTTTAAGTTGCTTATTTTGTGCTAATTTGTTATGCAGCAATTGAAATCTAACACATAGGAAGAAAATTAGCATGGGGTAAGCTGTTAACTATTCCTGGATTAAACTATAAAGTCAATGGGGGCAGGTGCTGTGTCTATCTATCATGATGATTAACTATTTATTTTTTTTCAGGTGGAGTCTTGCTCTGTCACCAGCCTGGAGTGCAGTGCCTCAATCTCAGCTGACTGCAACCTTTGCTTCCTGGGTTCAAGCCATTTTCCTGCTTCAGCCTCCTGGGTAGCTGGGATTATAGCCACCCACCACCACACTAGCCTAATTTTTGTATTTTCAGTAGAGATGGTGTTTCACCATGTTGCCCAGGATGGTCTTCATCTCCTGACCTCGTGATCTGCCCATCTTGGCCTCCCAAAGTGCTGGGATTACAGGTGTGAGCCACCGTACCCAGCCTATGATGATGAACTTTTTGAGCTCTGAGACTGAATACAGGCCCTGTCACTTATTAGCTGCATGTCTTTGGAGGATGTATCTCAGTTTTCTAATCTGTAAAATGGAAATTATAACATTTTGGGAATTGAGGAAGAATAAATGTAATAGTGCATATACAATGCTTAGCATAATCATTGTTACAGTGCTAAGCACTGTGTATGGACTGTTACATTAACTCTTCCTCAATTCCCATATGATGTATGCATTCAGTAAGCATAAGCTATCATATTCAGCTGAAATCACTATTGAATTGTAGCAGGTAACAGTGCCCATCTTTACAGGCATATATATGGAAAGCAAGGAATGGACGATGGAGTGAGTAATTTGAGTGACTGAAGAAATGGATAAATGGTGAACAGCTACCCAAGAAACTCAATTTGCATTTCTTTTTGTTTTTTAAGAGAGATGGTCTTGCTGTCACTCAGGCTGGAGTGCAGTGATGTGATCATGGCTCACTGCAGCCTCAACCTCCTGGGTTCAAGTGATCCTCCCACCTCAGCCTCCCAAGTAGCTGGGACTACAGGAACACATCTCATGTCTGACTAATTTTAAAAGTTTTTGTAGAGTTGGGGGTCTGACTATGTTGTCTAGGCTGGTCTCTAATTCCAGGGCTCAAAAAATCCTCCCATCTGGGCCTCCCAAAGTGCTGGGATTGCAAGCATGCATTACTGTGCTGAGCCTCAATTCATATTCCTTTAAAAAGTCACAGCTTTTATAATTTAAGCCTGTCAGTGCCTGTGGGATAAATCGCCAAAGGAGAGCAGGGCTTGCAGAACATGCTTCTTGCTCTCCAGAGGTCATGATAATAGAAAACTCGTGCTCAGATGCATCACCTGGTGACTCTGACGGGGACCACATCTAGAAATTTCCAGGCCAGGGAGACACTTAGGATGGATTCTTCCTCACTCTTCTCTTCTTTGTTTGCACTCGCTTTATTCTCTTGCTGAGCTGCTCTCTGGCTAACTGGAAACTCACACTTTCCTTCTCTCCCGTGCTGCCACAGACACACTTGCCCTTGGCTGCACGAAAAGGATATGCTTGCTGAGCAGCAGGTATAAATTAACTACATGAAATATAATTATTTCATCCTGGCCGTGATAGGAGGAGGGAGGAATAGAAGGAAGGTTTGCTCTGCTGAGTTTAGACTCTGAGAACGTGATCCAGATAAGAACCACTGAAGTGACGCCTGTTTAATAAATATTAAGAACTGGTAGGCCCTGGAGTCTGGGGATTTCAGGACATACAGCACAGTTCTGGAGCTTTGCAAAGTTTTCTTTTAATGAAGCACGAATTTCCCTCACTTAGAGGCTCTGGATGCATCTGTGGAATGGAGGAAATGTACAAAGCCTAGGGTCAGAAAGCCTGTGGTAGAATCCTAGCTCCAAGTCCCATCTTCCAGGTACAGCTGGGCAAGTCACCACTCCTCATAATACACTGATATGATGACATGCAGCAGACAGGGTTCCATGAGAAAATAAAGGTAAACATCTAAAGAATTCAAAAGTTGTCTCTCAGTGGATCCTTTCCTCTCTTTGAGACTCAGCTTCCTCAATGATCAAATATTGGGGCTGTTCTGAATGAAACTGTGCTCCAAGCAGGTGGCCATTTCCAGATACAGCAGGGAGAACTCAGGGCTGTTGAGGGGACCAGACTCTCCTCCTCCCAACATTTACAATGGAAGAAGCTGAGTCAGATTTGAATCAATTCTGCATAATAGTCTTCCTGGTGAGATGTATTTTTCAGATTTTGATCTAAAGAAATTAGATCACTCCACTGGCTGATGGCTTCATTCCCATTGATTATTAGCATATTCTACTACAGTTTCCAGGATTCTTGTGATTTAATCAGGGAAGTAAACGAGAAGTTGGATAGAAGACCAAGGCAGCCACACGGTAGCATCAAGGCCGTGGAAGTTGAAACCAGAAGATTTGAGTTTGAGGTTCGACCTTGCTACTGACCAGCCACATTGCTCTTACTGGTTTCTTAACCTTTCGCTTTCAGTTTCTCCAGTGTCTAATATAATCCCAGCTTCCCATGAGTGCTCTGGGGATCCTGAGATGGAGGTTGATAAAAATGCCCAGCACAGTGCCTTGCACCTGGCTCACAGAGGAAGCAGGTGGGATTTGCTGGGATACCACACCTCTTGCTAGCTGTGTTATTAAATACCAATTCCTGCTGGTCTGGATAGTACAATCTCATATTCAAAAGCATTCAGAGAGATGCTTGCATGCGGGACAAATGCATATATCCCTGCTGTTGCTATGCTGACTTAATGCAATACATTAAAGTCTACTCCAACAGCAGTGCCTATAAAAAAAGAGGAACAGGTTACCTCCTCTGGGCATCAGAGAGAGGGAACTAATGGCTTATTTTTTCACCTGCTATTCAGCTGGTTTTTGCATTTGGTATTTAGCCTCAGCTCTCTACATGATATTTATTACTGCAATTAAGTTGGGGGCAGAAACATTTAGAATGGCTCTGGCTAAGAAGTCGCCTGAGCATTGTCGTTTTTATGTTGCAGGAACTGAGCACAAATGTTGTGTCTTCCTGCTAATCTTGGGTAGGGTAAGATCTACCATTTAGTTGGTAGGAAGAAGGCAAGTCTCTGTGATGCTAACATGAATATCTCCAAAATAAGATTTGAAGTCCTCACAATGTCTTTTTTCTACTCATTGTCCACTGAACACAAGAGTGAAAGAACTCTTCATGATAGTGTGAGCTAATTGATCTTTACTGAAGGCTTTCTATGTGTTGGACACTCACTGTGTCTTCTTAATCCACTTGCCATTCCCATGTGATAGGAAACTGCATTATTCCTGCTTTAGGTGAGTCAGAGGCATGCCAAATGGTCTAAGATTTTTGTTTATGGCTTAAGGGGTTCGGTGAAGACTTTGGGTGTACTGACAAAGAGCTGAATTTTGTAAGGTAATGAAGAGTTGCTATGTTGAGGAGAGTGAAGTATCTTCAAGTGAAGTAGTTGCCCATACTCTGTAGCCTTAACGAGCCATACAGATAAAAGGTATCACCAAATAATGTAGTGTTTCAGGGAGAAAACAACATGTTCTATTAAAAGTCCTCAAGATTCAGGAATTGCTGGTGTCTTGTTCTAGCTCTAGACACAACCTGTTCATTTGTTTTCAATCCCATCGCCTTCATCTGCCCCATAAAGAGAACACACCTGGCTCTCCTTCCTGTCAAGGTACGATGTGCTGTGTGCAGCTGCTTACATGACATGAAATAAAAAGTGTTATGAAAAGCAGAAAGTGCCTGGGTGCAGTGGCTCATGCCTGCAATCCAAACACTTTGGGAGATGGGGGCAGGAGGAATGCTTGAGCCCAGGAGTTCGAGACCAGCCTGGGCATTACACAGGGAGACTCCCATCTCTACAAAAAATATTCAAAAAGTAGTCAGGTGTAGTGTCTTGTGCAGGTAGTTCTAGCCACTTGGGAAGCTGAACTATGCAGATCACTTATGCCTGGGAGGTTGAGGGTGCAGTGAGCTGTGATCAGTGAGTGAGCAGTGAGCCACAGAATGAGGCCCTGTCTCAAAGAAAAAAAAAAGAGGACACATTCATCAGATGCAGCCAATATTTCCTCAGTAGTTCTGGCTGTTCGCTGGCATTATAAACTTGGATCCATGATTTCACCATTCACAGATCTGTAAACCAGGAGCCTCTTTGGTCTACAGAGTTCTACAATCTTTATGGCTTAGACAGTTGGGTGGAAGTTATTTGCAGAAGCTATTCAAATACATGTTATGGGCATTATAAACCTGGATGCATGATTTCACTATTCACAGACCTGTGAAACAAGAGCCTCTTTGGTCTCCAGAGTTCTACAGTCTTTATGGCTTAGACAGCTGGATGGAAGCTATTCACAGAATAGTTCTGTCCATTTGGTTCACAGGTTTTTGGTTATAGCCTGCCAAATTTCCCAGGATTGCACTAAGTATGTGCATGGATGAGGAGGTGTGTGGGAAGACGGAAAAAATAGGGTAGCCTTTAAAAGAAAAAGGCAGTTGCTTCCCTGACACCACTGGCTCCTGGTTTCCCTCCTACTTTCCTCACCATTCTTTCTCAGTCTCTCGCGCCTCTCTTCCTGCCCACACTTAAGACGTTGCAGCTCTAGGAAGACTTCATTCTTAGAGCTTTTCTGTTCTTACTCTAAACTATGGTAATTCTTATTTTGCAAGAGTAAATCTCCACGGAGTACAAGAGAACATTCCTTTTCCTCCAATTGCCTTTCATATCTACTCTGTGAAGCTCATTTTCCCCTGACCCTTGAATGAAGTCCAAGGCCATTCTCAATTCCGATCACTCTCTAGTAGTCAGTTGTCCTCTGGTCATTTTTAGTCATGAAAGTCTCATGGGAATAATTAACATGACCAGTAGTAAAAATCAGAATTACACAGACAATTTGAAGTTAAAACTTTTGTAACATTGGACTCTTTTGAACTTTGATAGGGATAGCCCCACATTCAAGAGGCCAGAGGAGAGACCCAGAGCCAGCGACTGAGACATGGGGTTGAATGAGGGAAGCTACATGCAAGTCAGACTAGTGGCGACTGGCTGGACAGGAGAACTCCAACCGCCTGTAAAAACCATGCAATTTACATAACATTTTCACTTAGCACCCTCCCCCTACCAACCTCCACATTGCAATCTTTATTTCACCCAAAATAAAGGGCCTCCATCTGCTGTATGGCCTGCATTCCATGGAGTGGGGCAGCAGTTCAGGAGTTCCTCATACATAGGGAATGAATCTCCAAGTTGGCCACTCCTAGATTTCTTAGCTTGAAACTCTTGAACACACATTATTCTTAGACCACAGAGTCATTCTCGGAGTATGCTTAAGTTATGTTATTGCTGTTAGATGCATCTGCCATACGCAGTCAGTTCTTATGGATGCTTCCAGTTAAACTATTACTGTCAGGTGCATCTGCATTACACTTCTCCCTTCCCTTCAACGAGTTCCTCCTTCAGGGTGGAAGTCAACATTAAGAAACAGTAATCCTTGCTCTTCTCTCGTCAAAACCCACTCACTCCAAGCTTTGTGATCAAGCTTTTCTCTCTCTGTCTCTCTCTTTCTTCATCAGAGCTGTGAGATAAGAGATCAAAGAGAGAGGAAAAGTCTTACCTGTATGGGAGGGACGGATGCACACCTGGGGATTGACATTCTCTTCATTTAATCTATGCTCGATGTTGATTTTCTGGTATGGTGTGCCCAGGGTTCCTTGGAGGTTCTATCCCTGGGATTGTGCTGCCGCACTTCCAGCAGTAGCTTAGACAACAAAAGCTGGTACCTCTGGAGGACCATGCACAGTTTCTATCTGAGCTGTTATGCTGGTTCCTCTTTCTGATTGATATCGCATCATCCCTTTGGGTGGTCTTCTTAGGGAAGGTTCAAGACAGTTGTAGGGTGTGATGTCCCTCTCCCATGTAGCCCTCTTTTGATCACTCAGGCATTCTCCTTCTTACTCTTGATGAAGTGTAGCTAACTCCCTATCCATAATCTCTCTCTGCCCTGGTGCCTCAGACTGATAATGTAGAACCTGACCTATGCATTTCTGTGATCTGTGTCAGACATGAGTCCAAGGTGTCCAAAGTGCACCTATTAAACTCTCCAGATAATTTATTTGAAGCTTTTTTTACTCTTGAACTAGGAAGGGGTTTTCCCTTCTTTGTTTCCCTTTACTGGGAGGCACACACACACACATGCCAGAACACTCTCCTAAGTAAGCCAGAACAACTTTCTCCCGAGGAAATTCTCTCTGAGATTTTCAACTTCAATATTCTTATGCCAGAAAAGGGTATTAGGTTAGAGATTGAAAGCCATCTTCTGAAATTTTCTTTGCAATTTCTGCCTAGGTGATCTGTCACCTTGCTTTGCAATGTGAAGTTAGTTGGCACCTTGTTTCTCAGGGTCTCAACTGAAATGAGACAGAATGAGTCCTATTTTAAAACTGTACCATAGTCTTGCTCCATAAGCTTGTCCACTTCAATGGCTTTTGGTGGCTAGGGTCATGAATACCCTAAAATATGTAAAATCAACACTTCTTTAGAAGAAAATTCAAGGACAGTTTAACCCAGGTCAAGGTACACCAAAGATCTCAGATGGGAATAACTTTTGGAAAGAGTTAGCTGTTCAACAAGCTGCCCCAGAGGTACCCTGGCTGCTTTAGTGCTGGGGCACAGAAACCACTCATACACTGAATCCTCTTCAAGGACTGTCTTTTTTTTCTTGCAATCCTAGTTTGTTAGGGCATGGAACCATTTTTGCAGACCAATAAGGTCCAGTATAGTAGCAGAGTTCTGCCTCTATGAATTGGCTATGGTCAAGGACAAGATTAAATGAACACTAGAATATTAAGGATTTACTCTGATTTTAATTGTGATTTAAAATTACATGCAGTATATTCTTCCCTCTGTACCCCATTATTACCCTAACCAACAAAACATTAACCATACCTCTCTTTTATGAACTCAGATTCACATATTTTACTCCATGATGAATAATTTCATCTAGATATTCCAAAGTAACTCAAACTAAAACATAATGAAATGGAAATTATGATTTTACTTTTTCCTAAAATGTTTATTATAACCACGTCTTATTTTTAAAAATAGACCTCATTTCCCACACGCCCAAATCCTAAATCCTAACTTTAAGATTTTCATGCTGCACAATTCCAATCAACCCGGCCTTCTAATATATCGGGAGTCTGTCCCCTTTGGATCCTCATAACAGCTCATTTTACACTCTCATCATTCCCCTTGGAAAATGCATCAGCATCTTAACTGGCTTCACTGCATTTATTCTCACCCACCATAACTCATTTTTCTCGGAGCCAACACTTTAACCATTTTAAATCATGTCTCCTTTACTTAAGATTTTCAAAGCTATTCATTGCCTAGATGAATGGTCTAGATATAAAAGCTTTATTTTTTTTTTAATCCAAGGATAGTTAAACCCATGTGAAGGTACTCCAAAGATCTCAGATGGGAGTAGCTTTTGGAAAGAAGTAGCTGTTCAGCAAGCTGCCCCTGAGGTACCCTGGCTGCTTTAGTGCTGGGGCACAAAACTCACTCGTACACTGAATCTTCTTCCTAGAGGCAGGGACGGTCTTTTTTTCTTAAAGTGATGGTCTCTAAGATAGAGAGTGGGCATCCCAGGCATGCAAAAGATGATTCTTATGCAATGTGAAAAGAAAACACTATAGCTTTTATTTGTATATTGTTTTTATCCTTTATGAAAAAAATTAATTAAGCTTTATTTATTCTATGGCTTGACTTTGGGGAAGTCCTCACCTAGAAGATGGGTTGATCCCCATGTCAGAAACAAAAAATGGAAATTCCACAATATGGTGGTCTTGACAGTGGTGACCTACTCCTTCCCTGATTTTCAGCATGCTACAGCTCATTGTAGTTTATGTGTTAAGTTATGTAGTTCATATCCTCTTGTTAGAAAGACTTACAGATTTTATGAGTTGTTTTAAATGATGTAAGGCCAGGTGCAGTGGCTCATGCCTGTAATTCTAGCACTTTGGGAGGCTGAGGTGGGCAGATCACCTGAGGTAAGGAGGTTGAGATTGGCCTGGCCAACATGGTGAAACCCTGTCTCTACTAAAAATACAAAATTTGGCTGGGCATGGTGGCGTGCACCTGTAATCCCAGCTACTCAAGAGTCTGAGGCAGGAGAATTGCTTGATTTGAACCCAGAGGTGGAAATTGCAGTGAGCCAAGATTGCACCACTGCACTCCAGTCTGGGCGGCAGAGGCAAACTCCGTCTCAATAAATAAATAAGTATTGTGATTTCTACAATATTACATTGAGAAATAAGCAATTTTTATAACACAAGATGTTATACTTTTTTTTTTTTTTTTTTGAGACAGAGTCTCGTTCTATTGCCAGGCTGGAGTGCAGCAGCAGCGGCGCTATCCCGGCTAACTGCAGCTTCAGTTTTGCAGTTTCAAGAAATTCTCCTGCCTCAGCGTCCCGAGTAGCTGGGACTTCAGGCAAGCACCACCACGCCTGGCTAACTTTTTGTACTTTTAGTAGAGATGGGGTTTCACCATGTTGGCCAGGATGGTCTCGATCTCTTGACATTGTGATTTGCCCACCTTGGCCTCCCAAAGTGCTGGGATTACAGGTGTGAGCCACCACACCCAACCAATGTTATACATTTTCTATAGCAAGGAACTGAAAAGTATTACCAAACCTGAAGATGGGTCACACATTGCATTCGTTTGTTCAGGCTGCCATAATAAAATTCCTCAGACTGGATGGCTTAGGCAGCATAAATTTGTTTTCTCACAATTCTGGCAGCTAGAAGCCTGAGATCAAGGTTTTGGAAGGTTAGTTTTTTCTGAGGCCTCTCCCTTGGCTTACAGATGGTCACCTTCTCCCTGTGTCCTCACATGGCCTTTCCCTGTAAATGTGCCTCCCTCCTGTCTCTTTATATTCCTGTAAATACTCTAGTCATATTGGATTAAGGGCTCACCCTAACGCCTCATTTTAACTCAATGGCCTGTTTAAAGATCTTATCTCAAAGCAAGATTATAATCTGAGGTCGTGAAGATTGGAACTTTAACATATGAATTTTAAGGAGTTGCATTCCAGCCCTTAACACATTTTTTTTTTTTTTTTTTTTTTGAGATGGAGTTTCGCTCTTGTTACCCACTCTGGAGTGCAATGGAGTGATCTTGGTTCACCGCAACCTCCGCCTCCTGGGTTCAGGCAATTCTCCTGCCTCAGCCTCCCGAGTAGCTGGGATTACAGGCACGCGCCACCATGCCCAGCTAATTTTTTGTATTTTTAGTAGATATGGGGTTTCACCATGTTGACCAGGATGGTCTTGATCTCTCGACCTCGTGATCCACCAGCCTTGGACTCCCAAAGTGCTGGGATTACAGGCTTGAGCCACCGCACCCGGCCCACTTTTTTTTTTTTTTTCTGCATGAAATGTGGTGGCATCTAGGCTGGTACAGTGGCGCATGCCTGTCATCCCAGCACTTTGGGAGGCCAAGGAGGTGGATCACCTGAGGTCAGGACTTGGAGACTACCTGGCCAACATGGTGAAACCCATTTCTACAAAAAATACAAAAATTACTGTAATCCCAGCACTTTGGGATGCTGAGGCGGGTGGATCACGAGGTCAAGAGATCAAGACCATTCTGGCCAACACGGTGAAACCCTGTCTCTACTAAAAATTAAAAAAAAAGAAAAGAAAAGAAAAGAAAAATTAGTTGGGTGTTGTGGCACACACCTGTGGTCCCAGCTACTCTGTCAGCAGGCTGAGGTGGAAGAAATTCCTTCAACCCAGGAGGTGGAGGTTGCAGTGAGCCACTGCACTCCAGCCTGGTGACAGAGCAAGGCTCTGTCTCAAAAAAAAAAAAAAAAAAAAAGATAAAAATACAAAAATTAGCCGGGCGTGATCGTGCACACCTGTAGTCCCAGCTACTTTGGAGGCTAAGGCAGGAGAATCGCTTGAACCCGGAAAGTGGAGGTTGCAGTGAGCAGAGATCGTGCTGCTGCTACACTCCAGCCTGGGCAACAGAGTGAGTGAGACTCCATCTCAAAAATAAATAAATAAATAAAATTATTCTACCTACCATATATTTAAAAAAAAAAAATTGAATACTACAGTTAAACTGTTTCTTCAAGGTAAATGTGATGGTTTAAGAATGAGTAAAAAAAATAATTGTTTGTCAGATAAAGCCTCTGCTCTGGAAAGAACATTTTAAAATGGGTGCCTAAAAATATTTTCAGTGTTATATGATTTAGCTTTTCATAAATAAATTGAGAGTGAGAGGTCCTCCATGATAAAAGTTTATCTACATAACAAACCTGCCCATATACCCCTGAACTTAAAATAAAAGCAACAACAACAAATAACAACAAAAAGAGTGAGAACTGTGGTAACTCTCACATCCACATTTATAAAACTGGGGGTCATGCTAGACCCCTGTTGACTCCAGTCGGGATGGCGTCGTGTCCAGGAGGCTGAAGAACGGGCTTGGAGACAATGACTTCGACTTCACCCAGGGACATACATGCAGGGATGGTTCGACGGCAGAGGGCTGGACAGGAAAACCACTACTGTGTCCACACAGTATGTAGTTTATAGAGCATTTTTACTGAGCACCCTGTACTTAGAAACCTCTACCTAATAACCTCCATTTAACCCAGAACAAAGGACCCCTGTATGGGGATAGGCCAGGAATTCAGACATCCTTTGTAGATAAGGAGTGAATCTCCAGGTTGGCCACTCCTGGATTCCTTAGCTCAGGATTCCAAACACACATTCTTCTTAGACCGATAGGGTCATTCTCAGGATATGCTGAAGTGTTGCTGTTGAGTGCACCTGCCATACACTGGGAAATAGAATTTTAACCCATTTAAAAAGTTTTTAAATAAAAATATTATAGTGGGATATAAACCCATATGATTACACACACACATGCACAGAGTTTATACATAAAAACATAACATATTCATATCAGTTCACAATCATAACTAACATCAGAGAAGACAGTTTTTAAATCAAAGACATTTTACATAATGCTGGTGACTTTGAAAGACGACCATTACAATTTCATATTTGGACCAACTTATCCTTATGAAGAGTATTTTTGCAGCTATAGTATCCATTAGAACCAAGTATCAAAATGAACTAAACTTAGAATCAGACACATAAATTGCTATATAACAGAAAATGAAACCAAGATTTTAAAAAAAGACCTATTTGTTTTCATTTGTTAATGGATAATTTTCAAAAAGATAAAATTGTGACTGTCAGACATATGTAAAATGACTATTTGTCATTAAATCTGGTTTATTAATTAATGAGAAAACTGTAAGATGATTAATCTAGTTCAAAGGAAGATCTGAAGAGTAGACATATTTACAATCAGGAATCCTAAAATTAATTTGCTAATGGCTGCAAAACTGGTTGATATCATGTAGGGCAACAAATTGTGTGTTTCTACAGGGCAGAAATCAATTGTATCTCTACTGCAGAAAATTCATTTGCATTTCTATGGACAAAAATAATTTGCATTATCATCAGTTTCTTACAGTTTACAGAGTTGTAAAATAACCTAATCAAAGATAATCAAGGGCATGAAACTCTATAGGCTCAAATAGCCCTGAAGGGTTTGCTAGCTAACACTCAGCATTCTGCTGAAAGGAAACCTATGAATCATTTGTACATTTAAAAGCCTTTTATAACTTTGATGTTGTACTCTCACAAATATAGTAGTTAGTAATATTAATTTTCGTGATATAAACAAGGATTTTGGTGGTATTATTAAGTAAATTTAAAATATTTTTCATTTCATTGCTATTTTCTAACATTTACATTTACATTTCTGTCTATGCTTTCTCATATACACAAAACAGTAGAACTTGCAAATTTAGTATTATTTGAGATAGACTCTCACCCCGTCACCCAGGCTGAAGTGCAGTGGTGCGATCACAGTTCGAGCAGCCTTGAGCTCCTGGGCTCAAGCATTCCTGCCATCTCAGCCTCCCAAATAGCGAGAACTACAGGCACGCACCACAGTACTCAGCTAATTTTTAAATTATTTTTGCACAGATGGGGTCTGAGTATGTTGACCAGGCTGGTCTTAAACTCCTGGGTGCAAACAATCCTGCTGCCTCGGCTTCCCAAAGTGCTGGGATTACAGGCATGAGCTGCTGTGCCCAGCCTTGTAGGTACATCATACAACAGAGCATGTATGTATGTGGGTGTACATATACATACATACATATATACATGGGTATATTGGACACTTGTAATTTAAACACAATGTACCATTAAAGATGTACTGTCATAACATTTGGAGATCACCACTCCAGAGGATGCAGATCCAAGTTTTCAATATCTACAGAGACTCAATCTCTTGGCAGGAGTCTAAAACCTCTGCTTCCCTTGTCAGCTATGAAGGCTGTATCCCATGCTATCAGCTGGGCTGATTCTAAAATGGTAAGCATGTACAAAAACAAATCTAGATGAATGCTTAAATCTTGACAAAAATTAACTGAGAATGGATTTAGGGTTTACAGACCTTTATGTAAAATGCAAAACTCTGAAACTCCTACAAGATAACATAGGAAATAATCTAGATGACAATGGGTTTGATGATGATTTTTTTAGATATGATACCAAAGGCGATCTGTGAAAGAGAGAATCAATAGCTGGACTTTATTAAAATTAAAATGTTTTGCTGTGCCAAAGATGCTGTCAAGAGAATGAAAAGGCAAGCTGCAGACTGGGAAACAATATTTTCCAAGACATATGTGATAGAGGATGATACTTAAAATATATAAAGAACTCTTAAATACAGTTAAAAAAACCAACAGCCCAATTGAAAACCAGGCCAAAGACCTGAACAGACACCCTACCGAAGAAGTTATGCAGATGAAAGTCAGCAAATGAAAGGAAGCTTTACATTGTATGTTATCAGGGAAATGCACATTAAAACAAAAATAGGATATCACTGTGCACTTAGAATGGCCAAAATCCAAAACACTAATGTTACCGACCGCTGGTGAGGATGTGGAGCAAGAGGAGTTCTCATTCGCTGCTGATGGAAATACAAAATGGTATAGCCATTTTGGAAGATGGCTTGACAGTTTCTTATAAAACTAAACATACTATTACCATGAGATCTGGCAGTCACACTCCTTGGTATTTGCCCAAAATAGTTGAAAAAGTATGTTCACAAAACCTGCATATGGCTCTTAATAGCAGCTATATTTCAAATTCTCA